CCAGCGGGCTGGGGCCTTCGGTGGAGCTCCCTATGGGGCCACGAAGCGCTGTCCTGGGCGCGGGGGACGCATGTGGCCCCCCCCCCCCTCTGGAGCCTTCGGTGGAGCCCCCGATGGGGGGGCGTGGGCGACGCATGCGCCCCCTTCCCCCCCCTCCCCCTCTACGGGGGCCTTCGGTGGAGCTCCCTATGGAAGCGCTGTCCTGGGCGTGGGGGGCGCATGTGCCCCCCCCCCCCCCCCCCCTAGTGGGGCCTTCGGTGGAGGTCCCCATGGGGCCACGAAGCGCTGTCCTGGGCGTGGGGGCGCATGTGGACCCCCCCCCCCAGTGGCGTTCGGTGGAGCTCCATGTGGGGCCACGAAGCGCTGTCCTGGGCGTGGGGGCGCATGTGCCCCCCCCCCCCCCCTGGGGCCTTCGGTGGAGCTCCCTGTGGGGCCTCGAAACGCTGTCCCGGGCGGGGGACGCATGTGCCCCCCCCCCCCCCGCACTGGAGCCTTCGGGGGAGCTCCCTATGGGGCCACGAAGCGCTGTCCTGGGTTTGGGGGGCGCATGTGCCGCCCTCCCCCCCACCCCCACACTGGGGCCATCGGTGGAGCTCTGTATGGGGCCATGGGCCACTGTCCTGGGCGCGGGGGCCGCATGTGCCCCCCCCACTGGGGCCTTCGGTGGAGCTCCCAATGGGGGCCACGAGACGAACCAGCCATGGCGGTGCCGATGACGACGATGATGGTGATGATGATGATGACGATGATGATGATGATGATGATGATGATGATGATGATGATGATGATGATGATTATGATGATGATGATGATGATGATGATGGGAGGAGGGGGTGAGCTGAGACTTGCGGAGAGCAAAGGCCAGGATGGGGGAGGAGGGAGGAGGAGGAGAGGAGGAGGAGGAAGGAGGAAGGAGGTGGGACGCGGGGCGCTGTCTCTTCAAAACGAGGACCCAACGCCACCGGATGGTTGGGACACAACAAAAAAACACAAGGAACAAAAACAAACACGATGACGCCAAAGACCCAGGTCTGAAGAAAAAACACATAAGGAACAACATAACCAGATTAGCCTGACGAAGAACCCAACCATTTGCAGTTGCGAGTACCGCATTGTGGGTACCGGTTTCGGTGAAGCTCCGATGGGGCCACGAAACTTGTGAGGGGTGCGCCAAAATTGGTGGCGCGGACGCATGTGGACACCGCCACTGGGGCCTTCGGTGTAGCTCCCTATGTGGCCACGAAACGCTGCCCTGGGCTATTGGGACCTTCGCTGGAGCTCCTTATGGGGCCACGAAGCGCTGTCATGGGTGGGGGACGCATGCGAACTACGCATCTGGCGCCTTCGGTGGAGCTCCTTATGGGGCCACGAAGCGCTGCCCTGGGTGGGGGAGACGCATGCGAACACTCCGATTGAGGCCTTCGGTGGAGCTCCCCATGGGGCCACGAAGCGCTGTCCTGGGTAGGGGAGACCCATGCGAACGCCCCCGCTGGGGCCTTCGGTGGAGCTCCCTATTGGGCTACGAAGCGCTGCCCTGGGTGGGGGAACCGCATGCGGGCACCCCCACTGGGGCATCCGGTGGAGCTCCCTATGGGGCCACGAAGCGCTGCCCTGGGTGGGGGAACCGCATGCGGGCACCCCCACTGGGGCATTCGGTGGAGCTCCCCATGGGGCTACGAAGCGCTGCCCCTGGGTGGGGGAACCGCATGCAGGCACCCCGCCTGGGGCCTTCGGTGGAGCTCCGTGTGGGGCTACGAAGCGCTGCCCTGGGTGGGTGAACCGCATGCGGGCACCCCCACTGGGGCCTTCGGTGGGGCCCCCTATGGGGCAATGAAACGTTGCCCTGGGTGGGGGAACCGCATGCGGGCACCCCCACTGGGGCCTTCGGTGGAGCCCCCCATGGAGCCACGAAGCGCTGCCCTGGGTGGGGGAGCCGCATGCGGGCACCCCCACTGGGGCCTTCGGTGGAGCTGCCCATGGGGTTACGAAGCGCTGCCCTGGGTGGGGGAACCGCATGCGGGCACCCCCACTGGGGCATTCGGTGGAGCTCCCCATGGGGCTGCAAAGCGCTGCCCCTGGGTGGGGGAACCGCATGCGAACACCCCAACTGGAGCCTTCGGTGGAGCCTTCTATGGGGCCACGAAGCGCTGCCCTGGGTGGGGGAACCGCATGCGGGCACCCCCACTGGGGCCTTCGGTGGAGCTCCCTATGGGGCCACGAAGCGCTGCCCTGGGTGGGGGAACCGCATGCGGGCACCCCCACTGGGGCATCCGGTGGAGCTCCCTATGGGGCCACGAAACGCAGCCCTGGGTGGGGGAGCCGCATGCGGGCACCCCGCCTGGGGCCTTCGGTGGAGCTGCCCATGGGGATACGAAGCGCTGCCCTGGGTGGGGGAACCGCATGCGGGCACCCTGCCTGGGGCCTTCGGAGGACCTTCCCATTGGGCTACGAAGCGCTGCCCTGGGTGGGGGATCCGCATGCGAACACACCAACTGGGGCCTTCGGTGGAGCTCCCTATGGGGCCACGAAGCGCTGCCCTGGGTGGGGGAACCGCATGCGGGCACCCCCACTGGGGCATTCGGTGGAGCTCCCTATGGGGCCACGAAGCGCTGTCCTGGGCGCGGGAGACGGGCGCGGGAGACGCAAGTGGACACCGTCACTGGGGCCTTCGGTGGAGCTCCCCATGGTGCCACGGAGCGCTGTCCTGGGCGCGGGGGGCGCATGCGGCACCACCCTTTTTGGCGCCTTCGGTGGAGCTCCCCATGGGGCCACGGAGCGCTGTCCTGGGCGGGGGGGGCGCATGCGGCACCCCCACTGGGGCATTCGGTGGAGCTCCCTATGGCGCCACGAAGCGCTGTCCTGGGCGTGGGGGACGCATGCGGCACCCCCACTGGGGCCTTCGGTGGGGCTCCTTATGGGGCAACGCAACGCTGTCCTGTGTGTGGGGGGCGCATGCGGGCACCCCCACTGTGGCTTTTGGTGGAGCTCCCTATGGGGCTACGAAGCGCTGTCCTGGGCGTGGGGGACGCATGCGGGCACCCCGCCTGGGGCCTTCGGTGGAGCTCCCTATGGGGCTACGAAACGCTGTCCTGGGCGTGGGGGGCGCATGCGGGCACCCCCACTGTGGCCTTCGGTGGGGCTCCCTATGGGGCTACGAAGCGCTGCCCTGGGCGTGGGGGGCGCATGCGGGCACCCCCACTGGGGCTTTCGGTGGAGCTCCCCATGTGGCCACGAAGCGTTGTCCTGGGCGTGGGGGGCACATGCGGGCACCCCGCCTGGGGCCTTCGGTGGAGCCCCCCAATGAGGTCACGAAACGCTGTGCTGGGCGTGGGGGGCGCATGCGGGCACCCCCACTGGGACCTTCGGTGGAGCTCCCTATGAGGTTACGAGACGTGTGAGGGTGTGCCGAGAGCAGAGGCAATGAGGGGGAGGAGGGAGGAGGGGGAGGGAAACGCGGGAGGAGGAAGGAACGCGGGGCGCTGTCTCTTCAAAACGAGGACCCAACACCACAGGATGGTTGGGAACAAACAAACAGCTACTCTTCCTCCAACCCTCCTCCGTCTCCTCCTGTCTCCTCCTCGTGGAGGGACGTCCTCTTGTTCTGGAGGAATAGACGTGTTCTCATACGGCATCCTTCAGAAAGCAGCCCCTGTGTAAGGCATGTCAAACGAGATCCCTTTGTAAGGCTGTCACGTTCTTGCAGGAGGAGGAGGGGGGAGGATAACAAACAAAATAACTATAGAGAACGAAGACGAGTGGATGAGGATGAGGAGGAGATATGGAACGCATGGAATAAGAAAATGTATGATCATGATGGGGGTACCACATATATTTATGTATGTATAGATATATGTATGAGTGTATGTATGTTTGTGTACATATACACATACATACATAGACATGTATACATATATATATATATATAGATGGTGCCCTGAACCGATAATTTGGTAGATTGGTCGATCGATATATGTGCAGATGTGTTTGACAATAGGAAAGTGAAAGAAGCCACCAAGGAACCCAGAGCCATCGCAAATCGACCGCCTCCCCCCCCTCCCCCAAACCTCCTCATCACCCGTAGGGTGGTCCTATCGGGTATGCGCCGCCCCTCCAATGTCGGTCATCATCGAACTTCGACTCGCTCCCGGTCAGACCCACCTTTCCCCTGGCCCCGACATTGGAGGGGCGTCGCATCGACATTGAAGGACGCACCGACCTCGAAGGGGCATGTCCGCCACCTTCGAGCTAAGTTTGACAAGGGATAGGAGGAAGGGCACAGATCGTCGACCAACTTGGTCGAATATTGGACAAACTCTACGTCCGTCTCCGCCGATCCTGCAGGGGAAGCCAGAGGAAGGCCCCAGGGAGCGCTTGGACTCGTAGAGGCTCGTCTGGAGAGGTCTCTCGCGAGGCCCATTTGACATATTTCGGGGGTCTCTTGGGGTCTCTTGGGATTGTCTTGGGAGCCTCGGATGGAGTTCTTGGGGGACTTGGGGGGGCCTGCTGGCGATCTCGGGGGCTATCTTGTGACGAACGGCTCGACGTTGCAGTTTCAACATGTCCCTAGATTCATGGGCTTACGCCGCACCGCCGACCCCTAGGGAGCTTCAGTTTTATTGCTTCCGCGGGGCTTCTCGGGGCCTCGTCTTGGTTTCTTGGGGGCCTGCTGGCGGCATCGGAGGTCCCTTTGAGGCGGAGGATCCGACATGTCAGTTCGAGTTTCTTCATTTGGGCCCTTTCTGGGGCTCTCGTTAGCCGTCTTGGGAGTCTCTGGAACCGTTGAGGTACGGCCGAGGCTGATTAGTAGGTCCACCCTGCCAAATCCAGGGTGCCCTGGTGTCCTGTGGCTCGTGCTCCGCGACCCACGCCTTCTGCATTCCCGTGGCAGTGTAGCCCTCGGAAGGGTATTGCGCCCTCTCGCGTGTCTTCTCCAAGCAGCCCCGACTGCACAGCGCCTTGACAGCCTCGGAGCCGCCGCCCCCCCCCCCCCCGCGCACGAGGTGGCCGACTGGACGCCGTGGGCGCTCTGCGACCGCACCTGCGGCGGCGGGCAGACCAACCGCCAACGGCAGGTGCTGCAGTTCCCGGCGAATGGCGGGAGGCGGCCTCCCCTCCCTCCTCCTCCTCCTCCCCCTCCTCCTTCTCCTCCTCCTCCTCCTCCTCCGCCTGGTCCTCCGCCTCCTCCTCCTCCTCCTCCTCGATTCATCTGCGATGGCTTCTGATTTAGACTCGATGCAAATTGGGATGCCGATTCGGGTTCCGATGTTTTGTTGGAGGCAGGCTGTGTAGCTTGCCGATATTGTAATGGCCTCGGGCCAGTGCCGCCGATCCGGGGGGCTCCGATGGCGATAACGATGACGGTTACGATTACGATTATGATGATGTTATTTATGATAATGGTGATGATGATGATGATGATGATGATGATGATGATGATGATGATGATGATGATGATGATGATAATGGTGGTGATGATGATGATGATGATGATGATGATGATGATGATGATGATGGTGGTGGTGATGGTGGTGGTGATGGTGATGGTGATGGTGATGGTGATGGTGATGATGATGGTGATGGTGATGGTCATGGTGGCGGTGTTGGTGGGGGGGGGCGCTCTTGGGGTCGTCGGGGACGCTTTTTGGAGCTGACGTGCCCTGTTTGGGAGGGAGCGCGCTCCTGGAGTCGTCGGGGACGCTTTTTGGAGCTGACGTGCCCTCTGGGGGGGGGCTGGAGCGGTCCCGGGGGGGGGATCCGGGGAGGGTTCCGAGGGGAGGGCCTTGGGGGCGGCAGCGGCTCCGATGTGTATCGTTGGAGGCAGACTTGTGTAGCTTGCCGACTTCTGCCGATTCGACCCCTCCCGACGTGGCTGCCGATTTGCGCCGATCCGGTTGGTGCCGATCGCCGATCCGACTCATCGATTCGACGCTGGGCTTAAGTCGGGCCTGTCCCCCTACAGGTGGATTTCCGACGAAAGATAAAAAATACCCCCAAAATAGTCCAAAAATAGCCTGGGGACTATTTTTGTTAGTATTTTTGACCTTTTTGGGGTATTTTTGGGGGTATTTTTATTCTTTCGTCGAAAATCCCCCTGTAGGGGGACACGCTCGACATAATGCTGGGCTCTCCCGGGGGAGGAGTAGGGCGGCCGCGGAGGAGGAGCGCAGGAGGAGGCCTCGGGTGTTGGTGCTCGTCGCCGCGAGGAGTGCGCAGGCGGCCTCGGGCCCCAGACACCGGTGTCCCATGTGGTGTGCGTCCAGTCCGTGCTGCTGGAGGAGGGGGGGGGCGAAGCACCGATGTGACCAGAGAGGCAGGTCAGGTGGTGAAGCATCGTGAAACAACAAAGCACGATCAGCAATTGTTGTATGTATGTGTGCATGTATGTATGTATGTATGCATGTATTGTCTGTATGTACATATGTATGTCTGTATGCATGTATGTATGTATGTATGTATGTGTGTATGTGTGTATGTATGTATGTATGCATGCATGCATGCATGCATGCATGCATGCATGCATGCATGTATGTATGTATGTATGTATGTATGTATGTATGTATGTATGTATGTATGTATGTACGTACGTATGTATGTATGTATGTATGTATGTATGTATGTATGTATGTATGTATGTGTGTCTGTCTGTCTGCCTGCCTGCCTGTCTGTCTGTATGTATGGATGTATGCATGGTTGGATTCATGTATGTCTGTATGTATGTATGTATGTATGTGTGTCTGTCTGTCTGCCTGCCTGCCTGTCTGTCTGTATGTATGGATGTATGCATGGATGGATGTATGTATGTATGTATGTATGTATGAAGGTATGAAGGTATGTAGGTATGTAGGTATGCCTGTATGCCTGTATGCCTGTATGTCTGTATTTCTGCATGTCTGCATGTCTGCATGTCTGCATGTATGTGTATACACATGTGTAAATATATGTAGGCACTACGTAGGTTATACACATTTGTGTAACGGTTGCCTCTGGGTGCCCTCTGGGTGTCCTCGCCAAGCCCCGGGACCTGTCAGATGGGCTTCGGGATGAACAGCTGGTCCAGAGGAATGGGTCGAAGCCTCTGCAGGTCGACGTCGGTTGAAGAAATCGGAACCTGGGTGGTTTGTGCCCCATTCCTCGGGGGGTCGAAGAGAGGGAGAACAGGAGAGGCAGGACCTTCGAACGACATGAGAGTGAAACCCTTGACCCCGTGATCCACCGTTGCCCTGGATTCCAAGCTGGTCCAAAGCATTGGGCAACACAAGAGTGAGAGGACAAAGAAGTTATGGCGCCACTGGGGCCTCCGCGAGGCGGGGGGAGGGGGGAGGGGCCAACGCGGGGTCGAATACGAGGGTTCGACTCTTTCGCCTTAGGCCCCTGCCGGAGGAGCAGGAGGGACATGTCCAGCCCATGATTTGCCGGGTCAGGGGCCAGCTTGACCTGTGGAGGAGGACGGTGCGTATCAACACATGGCCGCCTCCCAGGATGCCGCAGGGACGCCAACGACCGAACGCATCAGGTATTCGCTTTCGCTCGCGTGACGTTGGCTGGCGCCCATGGTTATTGAGGTCACCAGTGGTGGCTTGACTGCTGGCCCGCCGCTCTCTTCTTGATCAGGAGCGTCGGATATCGAGCAGCATTCGCTCTCCAACACCGCCACCGTGCCTGGGCTGAACACGATGCCCCTCGATTCTTGGATGCCCTCTGGGACGCAGGAGGGGGCCCTCGTGGGCGCCTCCTGGAGGCCTGCTGGAGGCACCGTGGGGTTATGATGTTCCAGCCTACTTTAGCCTTGATCACCAGAAAGAATTTCGAGCGCCAGAAAAGTACCCCCGAACTCGAGGGTGTTCACGTGTCGGGCCCCGGGAGACACTCGCCCGACACTGTTTCGACACCGCCTCGGCACTCCTTCCGCACTCTTTCGACACTCTCCCGGGTGCTCGACACGATTCCTGGGATGTGGTCCTGAAGTTCGATGGGAGCGATGCTTGGGCTGCACACGATGCCCCTGGGACTCCTGGCTGTCCCTTGGGACGCAGGGGGGGCCTCTTTGGGCGCCTCCCGGAGGCCTGCCTGAGGCCCCGCGCGGGGGCCTCCCTGGGGGCCTCTTCGGGAGCCCGCCTGCCGGCTTGCTCGAGGGTCCTCCTGGGATGGAGGGCGCCAGGAGGTCGAGCTGAGGGGTCCTCCTCCTCCTCCTCCTCCTCTTCCTCCTCCTCCTCCTCCTCCTCCTCCTCCTCCTCCTCCTCCTCCTACCCCTACCCCCCCTACGATTTCTGAGGGGGAGCGTGGGGTTCACTTCGCTCGGGAGCTCCCGAGCGAAGCGAGCCCCACGCTCCCCCTCAGAAATCGTGGGGGGTAGGGGTCAGGTTCGCGCGTGGCCCCCTACAACGTGGGGGGGGGAGGAGCGAGGACTACAGGAAGAACGTGGCCCACAAGGGGGCCTTCAAACGGCCCCGGAGGTGCACTTTCCTGAGCCCCACGCTCATTATTGCAAGCCTCCTCGAAGGCAGACGCAATCGTGGGTAGGGTTCGCACGTGGCCCCCTACACAGTGCCGTTTTAAATACATGCTCCGCGTGCGGATCATGTATTAAAAATGCAGGTTTAGTATCAAAAACAACGATGAGTTCGTGCATACATTTATTCATACATGAATCCTGTATTAAAAATCCTATGCTTAAAAACAGCCCATGTATTAAAAACTGCCCGGCACGAGTCCCCCCGCGGGGGCCCTTCTCGGGGGGGGGGGGGGCGCCTCCCCGGGCGCCTCTCCGGGAGCCCCTTCGGGAGGCCGCCTTCCTGGGGGCCAGTCGGCGGGCTCGCGGAGGCCACCTCGGCGGGGCCCGTCGGCGGGCTCGCGGGGCCCGTCGGCGGGCTCGCGGGGGGGAGCTCGAGCTGGCAGGCCCCCTCGATGTTCCAAGATCGTGTCGAGTTCCCTTTCGTGGAGGCCTCTCTTGTGCGGGTCTCGGGTGCCCTCTGGCGCGGGTCTTCCTGGTTCTCTCGGATCTGGGCCCTCCAGGTGGGGTCCGAGCGGATGGGGTCGGAGGATCGGGCCGCACCGCCGACGCATCGCCGGCGCGGATCGATGTGGAGCCCGATGTGCTTCACGTCGACGTCGGCGATGGATGCATCGCCGACGTCGACGATGCATCGCCGATGCATCGACGATGCGGCGCGATCCTCCGACCCCATCTACTCTTAAGTCGGGCCTGTCCCCCGACAGGGGGATTTTTGACGAAAAATAGTAAATACCCTACAAATAATTAAAACATACTCCAAAAATAGTCCGGGGATTATTTCTTGAGTATTTTTTGAGTTGTTGTTGGAGTATTTTTGGGGGTACTTTTAAATGTTCGTCCAAAATCCCCCTGTAGGGGGACACGCCCGACATAAATCGACTCCGACCCCTACAGGGGGGATTTTTCGACGAAGATTTAAAAATACCAGAGAAATGTACCAACATGGTTTCTAAAATAATCAAAAAATCGTCCCCCGACTATTTCCCCCATATCCTAAGATGGTGCTTGTTATTGCACTGACGCCTCCTACTCCTCATCCTCCTCCTTCTCCTCCCCTCTCCTCCGCATACCCAGACTTACTCATACACAGACTGGCTCACACTCAGACTTACTCATACCCAGACTTACTCACACACAAAATTACTCATACTCAGACCTCCTCATACTCAGACCTCCTCCTACTCAGACTTACTCATGCTGAAACTCACGCACACCCAGACTTACTCATACTCAGGCCTCCTCATTGTCTGACTTACTCTACACAGCAGATTGTGAGGATGTCTCAGGCTGGGCGCTGGTTTCAGCACCCCTAAGGGGAGCCGCCGAGGGGTATGACACGGTCCCGATCGCGGCCGTTTTGTGGGGATGTCTCAAGTCTCAAGCGGTTTGCTTGTTGTCTGGACAAACATCCTGCGCTTTCGGAGCAGATTGAGAGGATGTCTCGAGCGAGGCGCTCATGTTCACGCCCCTGAGGGGAGCCGCCGAGGGATAGGACACGGTCCCGTTCGCGGCCGTTTTGTGGGGATGTCTCAAGTGGTTTGCTTGTTTTCTGGCCCAACATCCTTCGCGTTCGGAGCAGATTTGGAGGA